CAAGCATTATGGAGCACCTACTGTCTGCCAGGCCAATGCTTAATATTTTGGGCACTTTATCTCACAGTTCTGTGAGGAGGTGTTAGTATACCCCAAGGTTTCCAAACCCCTCCTGGGAGGCAGGACTACCCTGGGCGAGACCCCCGGCGGCTGATTGTCTGTCTCTCCCAGCACCGGATCGCTGGCAGAGAAGCGACCGGATCGCTGGCAGAGAATTATCGGGGCTGTATTTCAGCCCATGGCACAGAGTAAGTGCTCAATAACTATCTGTTGAGAGAAGGGGTAAAAGTATCCCTAGCTTACAGATGAGGAAGTGAAGTTCAGAGTAATGAAGCGATTTGCCCAAGATCACGCAACTGCTCAGTGGTGGAGTTGGGATTTGAACCTAAGTATAACCAGCTCGAAAGCCCGTGTTCTTCCTGTGACACCGATTCTACCCACATGGAGGCCCGTTTTTGAGGAGGAAGATGAGGTCTGAGCTAGTGCTCAGACTTGGGTCGGAGGGTTGGAGATGCCTGGAGTGGCAGAGCTGGGGACCGAGACCCCTGCAGCCTTTTTCATTGAGACCCCTGGTCCCTCCTGCCTCCAATCTGTCTACCTGGCTTTCTCCTCAGGCCACCGGCCATCCCGGTCAGGGAAGCAGCACTCCCTCATCAGGTCCCCCATTAAGACGGGGGGGCCCCCCCCGAGCTTCCAGAAATTCCAAACGCATAAGGGGCCACACTCAGCCTCCAGGGCCTCATCGCAGCTTACTGCTTACAAGTTACCTGTTAGTCGCGGTGAGAGGGAAGGGTGCGGGGCGGGGGGGGGGGGGGGGGAAGCCGGAGGAGGGGGGTGGGACGGGGCCTTGGGCCATCCGGGCTTGGAGGAGACTTCAGAGAGCAAGTCCAACCCCCTTTCCCACCCATTTCTTAGCTGTGGAAACTGAGGGCCAGGGAAGGCAGAAAGATGACAGAGCCCCCCTTCACAGAGTGTCCAGGCTCTTTCACATTTATTCTAATAGCTTCTGTGACCCTGGGGACTGCAGATACCTCCAAAGTCAGTGTCTTCAAGAACCTAGCAGAAAGCCTGCACACAAGTGGGCGTTCAGAAATGCTTGCTGAATACACGAAGGAAGGAGTTACTTTGTTCTCAGAATAATTTGGTGAGGTAGGACTTACTATGCCATTGAGGAAACAGGCTCAGAGAGAAGGGAATTGACAACAGCATCTCAGGCTGCTGGAAAATGATCTCCAGACGCCAGGGACACATGTGGGGTGGGGCACCAGAGTGCAGGGGGTTGAGGAGTGAAGGGAGGTGAGAAAGGAGACCCTGCAAGCTGGAGGTAGCTCTTCAAGGAGAGGCTGAAAATACGGGAGGCGAGAGCGAGGGCAAAGAGGCTGAGAGACAGAGAGTGCGTTCTTCTCTGGAATAACATGGAGGGAAGGCAGGCTATTGCTGGGTTTTGTTGAGTTGTCATGAGGGAAACTTGGATAGGCTTCAGGGCTGGTTGGATGGAGCCAGTAAAGGCTTGCTGGAGATCCCTTGAAACCCTTCCTCTGGAGCATGGGGGGCAGTTCCCCGAAGGTCGTCATGGGCCTGGGCATGAAGGTTTGCTTCCTGGCAGAGAGCCCTGCTGCCCTCGGAGGGGGCAGAGGAAGGGGATCAGGGCTCACAGAGACCCCCATTGTGGGCCAGGCACAGCACTGCACACTTTCCTTACACCATCTCAACCCCAACCCAACCCACAGTCATGTGACTCCCACCAGCTCATTGATTCGTTCAACAGACGCCATGTCAAAATTCACTGGCCAGACATGGTGCTAGCTGGGGTGGTGGGGAGGGAGCGGGCAAGCTACGGACCCCTCCTGTCACGCAAGAACACCACTTTCTCCACCAGGCGCTTTACCTCTTGAGCATCTCTCCGTTTCTTTGCCTGTGAAACAGGGAAGCTACTGCTCCCTAAAGATCGCGAGCATTGAGTTGCCTTAGCGGGCCCTGTTCATGGACCACCTCTGCCACTCGTGCACCAGGAGGAAGCTGCGGGAAGTCCCTACAAGCACGTGGCTCCTGCAGCTCTCGGTCTCAGGGCCCCCCTGGCTGCCAGGCACTGAGCCCACCCCTGGGAGGCCACAAGTGTGGGGAGTTGGTGCCCTGGAGCAAGCCTCAGCCCCCTAGGGCACTTACCATAGGCTGAGTCCCTTAGAAGCCAGGTGAATCCCTGTACTTATAAAGTTATTGTCTGTGTTCCTGGTTCTACGCTCTAGTTTCCATTCCACTGTTCCAAATTGTACGCTCCAATATGGGCCTCTATGTTCAACAGAATTGGCTTCCAGCCCAAATTCGATGTTCCTTGTTGCAAGCACCCCCATCACCTTCCTCCTCGCCTCCTTCCAGGAGCCCTTGTGGTCAGCCAGGCCAGAGGCGAAGTTCGCCCGACGTCTGGGTGGAGGAGACGATGCAGGCTCACTTGCCCCTGAAGCTGGCTGGTATGGCCTCCCACCAGGCCCGGTGTGCCCACCTGGCCGCGGAGCTGAGTGCTGCCATCTGGGACCCGGTTAAGGCTGTCAGCCCGCGCTGTTACAAGCTAGTGTGCTCCGTCAGCATGGGGAGCCAGGGGCAGGATGACGCAGTGGCCTCCAGCCAGAGCCTGTGAGATCCACGTGCAGACAGCTTTGCCACCTCCCACTCTGTGAACCCTCCGCTCTTCTGTATGGCCCTGGTCCACGCCATCTACTTAGAGTGAGCCCTGTGGCATGAGGGTTCCGGACCCATGGGGGCCCTGTGCTAAATACTGGCTAGTTGGTGACCTGAGCAAATAGCACCCCCAGGCGAGGCCCACGGCTCCCACAACTCACGGTCCATGCGAACGAGAAAATGAATGCAACGCATCTGCACTGCCCCTCCTCAGGCCACGCAGACCACACCGGCTGCTGCGCTCATCTCCCTCTGGCCCGAGTTACGTCCACCACGTGCAGCCCCCAGCTGGCTGTACAGATCAGAAGCTCTGAGGGGCAGCTATCTGGGTCTTTGGTTAATAAAAAATGGGAGATAAATGAATAATGACTTAATACATGCAATTTGGGATCAAAATCTTCCAAAGCATGGGGAAAATAATAAAAAGGGGGGTTCTGGGGAGTGGAAAGTTTGCGAATGAGTGCTCTTCTCAGAGGCCAGCCATGAGCCAGGCACTTGCTGGGGCCACCAGGGAGACAAGAGAAAGGAGGGGGCTGGGCTCTCACATCCGCTCTGTGTGACGTGCCGTGCTCCAGCACCATACACGTTCCCTTCAGCCTCACATAACCCTGGGAGATGGCGCAACTGTTCCCGCTTTGTGGATGAGTAAACTGAGGCTCAGAGAGACCAAGTTATTTGCTCTGGATACTTACACAATTGGCAAGAGATTTGATTCTAGGCCTGCCTCACTTGAAAAGGAAAACAAATAAACAAGAGTCCCAAACTGTGGTATGTAGAAAGTCACTCCGGTTTGCGTTTACGAAGGAAAGCAGAGGGACAAGCAGAGGGAACAGCGTGTAAGCTGAGTGCCAACGTTGCGTCTCCTACCTACTGTGGTACCAGACCAGGGCACACAGTAGGCACTCCTGACAGTTTCAAATGGAAGCCGGACAAGCCTGGAGGCATAAAGGGGCATAACCTATCCTGAGAAGGGTGGGGATGACTGTTTAAGCCTCTGGTTTCTGAAGCAGCGTGACCAGGCACATTTCATCTTCTTTTTTAAATCTTTCATTATGGAACGATTTCAAATACAGAAAAAGCAGACATCAGTGACCCCATCACCCACAGTCACCTGATGTTCATATCTGGCCATATTCATTGCAAATGTTTTTATATTGAAGTGATGCAGATAAAAAAAGAGTGCTCACCCCACGCCATCCCCAGAGGTCACTATCACCCTTGCAGTTGGTATATCCCCTTCCTGAGCAGTTGGCATTATTTTGTGTTTTTAAACTTTCAAAATATTGGTATCTCACTGTATGTTGCCTTCTACAATTTGATTTCCAATTATGTTTTTTTTTTATTGAGTCTAGGTTGATACATGTAGATCTAGTTCGTTCATTTTAACTGCTATGTGTTATTTTACTGGATGAATATAGAACAATTTATTTCTCTATTCTCTTATTGATGGACGTATGGGCAGTTTTTATTTGCTATTTCAAATGGTGCAGCAAAGAAAATCTTTATACGCGTCTCCTGGTGCACTAACGTGTCATATATAACCTTTATACCAACTGCAGCATGTTGGAATTTGTGCATCTCGACGTCACCTTGTACAATTGCCTAATGTCTTGGAAACTTGGTTTTCCTCATCAGTGGACTGGGGTAATAAAATAGTGTGCGTCTTGGGGACGGTACGGTGCTTCAACATAGAGGAGATGCATTTTGCAACCTGTAAAGTACTCCATGTATATTCCCTGTTTATTATGTGGGTATTCAACATTCAGGATGTGCTGAGCACACTCCCACACTGGGGACACAATGCACAGGCCCCAGGACAGCCCCATGATGTGCTCACCTGCGAATGAGGCAGTCAGACGCCGCCGCAGCAGGATGCACAAGAACTTGCTGGCCAACTTGGCCTGCAGCGGTGGAGGCAGGCGTGGCTTCCGAGAGGAAGGGATGGTGAGCCGAGTAAGTCCTCAGAGGATGAGGAGCCCAAGGCGAGTAGAAGAGGGGAGGGCGGGAGGATGGCCCAGACCCAGAGGGCAGCAAATGGGAAGGGTCATACTGATGCGGGAGCAAGAGTGCTGGGGCAAAACCTGAGAGCTGGGGGCGAGGGGCCAAGGATAGAAAGTAAGTTTGGAGAGGCAGGCAGGGCTGCGACGCTGTGTCCTAGGGCAACAGGGAGCCACTGAAGGATTTTCAGCAAGGGAGTGACAGGCTCAGATCAGCAGGAGATCTGCTGTTCAACACTGCACCTCCGGTCAACAATAATGTACTGTGCACAGACTCTGTTAGGAGGATAGCTCTCATGTTAAGTGTTCTTCTTTTTTTTTTTTTTTTTTTTAGTGTGATGAGGTTTAATTTTTTTCTAGAGAATGGAGAGGGGTTGTGGGAGCCTAGATGAAATGCTCTTAAACTGTCCTGGAAAAGTCAGGGAAGGCTTCCTGGAGGAAGAGGCATCTAGGGTGGGACTTGAAGGATGAATAGCAGTTGGACCACGCACAGGCTCCAAAGGCCTTCCAGAAAGTGGTCCCTTTTCTGTTCAGAGAGTTGCTGCTATTCTTTTCTTCGATCTCCTGTTGAGTTCGTAGGTGTTCAGAATGGTTTGATCCCTATTCAGCTGAATTCCTGGGACCAGACGAAATTTAGATCTCCTACTCCTCCGCCATCTTGCTCCTCCTCTCTCTCCTATTAAGTGTTCCTATCAGAGTTGCAAAACCAGGTCTGGCGGCAGTACGGAGTGCGTGAGGGAAGAGGCTGGGAGACCAGCGAGGGGAACATAGAAGAGCTGCAGGCAAAATACTGAGGGGGCCAAACTCAGGCGGGCGTCCTTTGGCTGCCATCACCCTGATGGCATGCCCCCCCCAATGCCATGCAGTAGGTGTGGCTTCATCAGGAGGGATGGGCAGAACTGGCTAGCCAACAGAGCCTTGCCTCCAATTCAGACAGTCCATCCTCACACACCCCAGCCGGTCCCCTTCTAAGGCTAGCTTACCATCTTGCAAGGCAGGAGCTTTCCAGTCTCTGGATGATACGAGCCTTTTGGCATACTGGTATCAAGGGCATGGCTGGGTCTTCACCATCGTCCCATGATAAGAGACCCCACTGTACCCAGACTGTCTGGACGCCCTGTGAGGTGAGGGGAGGGGAGGGTGGCACGTTCTAGGACAAGAGGGGCTGATGGTTATCAGTGAGTGGCTGTGTCTAATGTCTAAACACCCAACATACAAAATGGGACAAAGACACAAAAGAACCGCCCCAGACCTTCATTTCTTACGTGGGGACTCCCTACCACCCCTAAGTCTGAGTGTGAAACCTCTGGCACCCCCAGATGCCCACCAGGGTTATTTCTTGGACATGGCCCAGCTTGGAGATGTGCCTGCAACTTTTTGGGCCATGCAGGAAAACCCTCTCACAAATGGAGGTGACCGCAAACCCTGATATATTAATGGGATGAACACAAAACTGCTCTAGTTGCAGGGAGTCTGGAGACCCCGCGTGGCTGTCCCCTCACTGCTGCCTTGCCCGGAACCCTAGTGTCCTATGGAGCCCGGTGTGAAAATCACCGGTTACCTCAACTCTCCATACAGGCGCCATCAGGGGACCTGGCTTCTCATGCCAGCTCTGCAGCGAACTGTTTGACCTTGGGCACGTCTCTTCGCTTCATGGGCCTGGCTGTCCCCGTTCGCACAATGAGTCTAATAGACGGGATGGCTTCTGGAGTCCCGAACTTTAATCTCTGGTGTGAGGAGGGCTGCGATTTCACGACCATAAAGTTCTAACTGAGTCCATGGTCCTCTGATTCTGAGATTTCATGGCTTACTATTCCAATTCCGGGAGCGCCCGCAGCCAGCCCCAGCTGAGGCAGCACGGTGGAGGCCAGGCAGTGGAAAGCAGGATTCATTATGGAGCGCCAGGTCCGAGGGGAGGGCTTGCCCCACGCAGGATGGAGGGACGCGGTGGGGAGGGCAGTGGGGGTGGAGCGGAATCAGCAGTGGCTCAGTGGGCAGAGCAGGGAGAGGGACCCAGGTCTCCTGACTCCTGCTCTATCTTTAGATCTCCATAGCAACCGTCACCAGGGCTCCTGAGCTGAAGGCAGGCTGAGCTGGCTGCCTACAGGAGGGAGGGGTGTTCGTTTCTGTACCTCTTTTGCTCAGGAAAGGACTCTGGAATGGGCTCTTGAGCCAGGGAAGGGAGACTGAGAGCGAAGCTGTTTGCAGTAGGAAAGGCCTGGGCCCAGTACAAAATAAAGGTAGTCCAGGGCCCACCTTGCCCAGAGAATGTGATCAGGTCACAGAACCTGAGACCGCTGTGTCAGGCTTGAGGCACAGGAGATACGTAAGGCAAGTTCCTCCTCCAAACAGCTCTTAGCTACCCCTATGGTCATTCCCTAAACACTCCGCAAGCAATGCATCTGAGCCAACCCTGAGGCCACAGCAGGGACACGCAGCTTCCAGGGAAAGCAGGTTTTAGAGCAGGCATTTCTAGGGCAGGGTGGGATGGGAGTCCCCAAGCCCTCCAATCTGAGGCACCTGGGAAGCTCCTCCTGCACCTCCTCCTGCCGGCTCCTACTCATCCTGGGGCTTGGCATGGACCAGGCTTTCTCCCTGGAGTCCTCCCGGACTCCCATGCCCCCTCCCTGGGGCTCCTGCAGCCTCATCTTCCCTCCACACAGCAAGATGTCTGCCTGAGGGAGTTGGCAACCTTGGGAGGTAGGGGAGAGCTGCAGGTGCACAGAGGTAAAGACATTCACCTGTTACCCGGCCAGTGAGCGGTGGGGCCTCAGACCTGCACTCCATGTCTTCTGATTTCAGTCTGTGCTTCTTCCAGTGTTCTAGTGGCAGGACCCTGGCCTGGGCTTTGAAAGGGAGGCCAGGGCTAGAAGAGGTAGTAGGAGTCCTTGGCCAGGCCTGCGCACAGCAGGCACCTGGCCATGTCCTTGGTAAACTCTGCTGAGCCACAGACCAATGCAAATGGCTTTCTGCGACAGGAGCCAACCAGCTCTTCAATCAGGCCCTGGGCCAGGCGGCCAAAGCAGGTCTTCTCCCGGTAACTCCAGGGAAGCTTCTCCAGGGAGTTCTCCTGAGACAATGAGAAATCATGCATGTGACTACTGGGAAGTCTTCAGAGTTCATGCAGATCACTGTCGAATGAGGAAACTGAGGCAGAGGGGTGGGAAGGCAACCTTCAGCTAGCCCTACCACAGGCCAGGGACTTCTTGGCACCGGGGCTCTGATTACCCTCATAACAAGCCCGGGGGTGGGGGGATGCTTATCCTCCCATGACAGGGGAGGCACAGGGAGGAGGGGGCGCATCCCAGGACACGCAGAGAGGCAGGCCCCACCACTTCTCGCTGCCTCTCAGGGGCCACTGTCCCTGTCACTCCAGGGGGATGTTTTCTCCCCAAGACTGGGGGTCTCCCAGCACCTTTGTAAGGCTGCCCGTCACCATCACCCTGGGAGTGTAACATGTGTTCATGACCTTACTGATGGAACAAGTACTGCCTGAGGGCCACTCTGTGCCCGGCACGGTGCTAGGCACTGGCATGTGGCGGCTGCTCAAATCAGACAAGCCTCCTGGTCCCGCTCTGGCTGCGTGTGTCAGGCACCCTAGGCAGCAGTGCCTTAACTGAGGGGGGCACGCTATTTCTCACATAAAAAGGCTGGAGGTAGGATTCCAGGGTGCACGGTGCCCGAGTGACCCAGGCGTCTTTCTGCTCTTCCAGCCTTCGCTGGTGGCTTGCTTCTTCGGGATTACGAAAGAAAAGCTCCACCTCCAGCTTACTTGGCGGAACTTCTCTTTTTTAAGTGAACGTTCCATTGAAGTACAATACGTACAGAAAAAGCGCACAAATCAGTAAGTATATGTAGTCTGGAGATTTCTAACGGAGACAAGACACCATGCAACCAGCATCTAAACAAACAAAAACAGAACAGGACCATCCCCTCTGCAGACCCTATTAAGGCGAGCTTCTAAGCTTCTGGGGCTAAGCAGAGAGATGCAAAGGAGAGAGGGGGCTGGAGTCTAAGCTCTGCCACCATGTCCCAGCTGAGTGACCCTGACTTCTGTGAGCCACTGTGACAGGTGTAGGCCTCCCCTCGGGCACACTTCACAGCACCTCGGAGGCCCGTGCCGCAGAGCTCCTCTGACTCCAGGGGCCCTCTAAAGACACCGCTACTGTGCTCACAGGGAGTCCGCTCTGATGATCTGGATCTTCCCACACCCCCTCCATGCTCTGACCCACCCAAAGGGTCCTTGTGGGCCAGCGGCCTCCCCTCTCCCTCCCGCTGCCCACTTCCCACAGGCTAGTTTAGTTTGGCATAGGCCCCCTCCCCCAACTGCACACCCAGAGATGCAGTGGGTCTGGTTGCTGCCCAGGTGGGGTGGGGGACCCATAATCAGGGATGGCGCCGCAGGGTAGATGCTGTCAAGGAGGAGAGTCCCGGCTATGACAGCAGAAACACCTACGCCAGTCTGGGGGCTCTGGGGAAGTTTCCCGGATAGAGTCCCACCCCAGCAGAGAGATGTGAGGGGTGGGTAGGTGTTCAGTGAACAAGTGGGGAAAAGTGCTCCTGGAAGGGGGAACAGCACCAGCACACGCAGGCCCGGCAGCCAGAAGAGCACGGTGCCCTTGCAGCGTGACCAGCAGACCGTGGCGCCGGGACATGCCAGGAGGGTGGGCCAGGAGACGAGCCCACGGAGGTTCGTGCAGCCGTGCGGGCTGGGCCGTCATCCTGAGAGCGGTGCAGAGCCAGGGAAGGGCTGGAAGCAGGGTGGTGGTGGGGGTCAGTGTTGCCCTTTGGCTGCAAGATGAAGGGCCAACTAGCAGGGAGTGGCTGGAGGGGGAGATCTGTGGGACCGCTGTGGCTGCAGCCCGGGCATGCCAGGGAGCATCCTAGGTCAAGGAGGCACCTCTCAGTCCATGGCCTCTCACCTGCCCCTGCCTTTGACAGCCAGCCCACTTGCCTGCCCAGCCCCAGGCCACTGGCCTCATCAGAGCCCTGAGCCAGGGCTGAGGGCCCTTTATTGCTGGTCAACTTTAACTCTGCCCTCAAGCCCAGGCTCAATGCCAGCCCCTCTGTGAAGCCCTCCCTGCTTGCCGCCAGCATCGTCAGCACCCTCCATGTGTCACCTCTCCCTGTGCTGTCTTATACCAACAGGCAGGAAAAGCAGGGCGTCTGGAGCAGGACCACCTGGGTTCACACCTAACTCTCCACCAACTTAGTCAAGGTTCTTAATCTCTCTGTGCCATCTCTACAAAATGGGCATGATGGTAGGACAAGCCGTCTAAGACTGTGGTGGGATTAAATGATTTAGCACACACAGAGTGCCTAGAACAGTGCCAGGCACGGAGAAAGTGCTCAGTGAAGCCATCCCTGTGGCTGTCTCCCCACAGAAAGGTGAGTGCCTGGAAGGCAGGGGGCAGGTCCTCCTCATTTGCCTATCCCGGGCACCTGGCATGCGGTCAGGGAACAGGAAGGCTGATCAACAGCTGGGTGATTCTGCCACTCTTACCACCTTCCTTGAGCTGGCCCTCGAGCGGAGCTGACAGGGCCGCCCCGGGCACACAAGAGTTGGGCTGCACACTAACCTTTGCTTCATACCCCGGCCTTCGGCACTTCCTGCTGCTGCAGATGCTCACCTAGCATGGTCCTCCTCATGGTCACGCCACTGAGTCTCCAGTCCCATGCAGAGGCCCACAGAACCTGGTCACTGAGGATCCCAGACCCCTGGTACTGGGAAGGGAAACCTGGTTTCCTGACACCCCCCACCCAGTCATGATGGGGAAGATCACGCCAGTCTTCAGGGACACTCTAAAGCTGCCTCAAGTAGGAAACTGATGAGAAGGGTGCTCCAAAGTACTGGGCAGTGAGGCCGACCCTGAGCAACACAGACCAGAGGGGAGGCCCCAGCAGGGAGCCCAGCCCTGGGGGCGCACGGAAGAGAAATAAAGTTGCAGACCAAGGGGAAGGCAGCTCAGGGCCTGGCTTCGCATAAGGAAGGAGATGGGCCCTGACTGTGGGCCAGAGGGGAGGGAGCGGGCAGGTGGCCTGAGTGCATGCAGGGAGGAGGAGTCTGAGGGGCAGGGTTGCTTCTAGTTCAAGTATCTGCAGCCTGGAGAGTCTGGAAGCAGCTTTCCTCCCGAGCAGGGACAAAGTGCTGGGGGAGGGGCCCAGATAAATGCGGTGACCCCAGATCCGCTTGCTCACCAATCACTGATGGCGTGCGTGTCTACTCCGTGCCTGGCACCCTGCCCAGCACCGAGGAGCACCTGGTGATCCAGACACATGATCCCCGCCCCGAAGGAGCCTATCCCGGCCTTGGGGACATCTGCGGCCTGGCCCACTGACTCCACATGCAGGCCCCCAGCCTGTATACCTGGTGAGGCCAGGGGGGATCGGGCAGGCAGTAAAGCATGGTGGGGAGCTCCAGTCCTGGCTTCACCCCAGCCAGCAGCACGGACAGGCCAGCACCTTCACCTCTTGAGCGTCAGTTCCTGCATCCACACACACCAAATGGAACCAGACCTGCTTTCCTTGCGGGCACAGGGTGGCAGTTCCCACTGGCAGCAGGGATTCCTACTGTGGCCCCTGAGGAAGGGAGGCCACAGCAGATCCTCAGGACGGGTGCAAGGGGCCGGCACAGTCTCAATCAGGGAAGGAAGTCAGCACGCTGGGCTCACCTGGCTGAGGACAAAGAAGGTTCGGACGTTCCAGAAACGGGCCTGCTCCTGGAGGAAGGTCTTCAGGTAGATGCCCTCAAAGGTCTTAAAGCAGCAGACCAGGGTGACAAAGGTCTCGTCCTCTGCATTGTCTGTTATGCTCTGCAGGATGGGCACCATGGGGGCCAGGCCAGTGCCTGAAGCTAGCATGAGGAGCTCACCGTACTGGGGAACAGAATGGGGAGATGACAGGCCTCAGCCCACCCACAGCACAGCCCTTCCTGGGGGTCCCACCCATCTGAGGTCCCCTCTCTACGTCCTCTTGTGAAAGTCTACAGCTTGTGAGGTCTGTGTCACAGAAATCATGGAATCTGGAGACTGAACAGGAACATAAAACGGTGTAGCCCATCCTACAAGTGGCTCAGTTGCTCTCTTGTCCATCTCCACAGGACTTTGCTAACACACTTCCCTTGACAGGGAGCCCACTACCTCCCAAAGCAGTTTGCTCTGCTATAGGCTGACTCCCCTTGCCGGAGAGGTCTTTCCACCTCACGCTGAGCTGAAAGCTGCTCCCGCCAAAGCCTAGTCCACCACCCCTATCCCAGCTCTGCCCTCTCGGCTGCCTTCTCTGCCCCAGGGCAGCCCTGTAGAGATCCGAGGGCCCTGGCATGGATCCCTGAGCCTGCTCTTCCCTAGACTGAGATACTTACTATACATAAGCGCCCAGCACAGTGCTGGCACAGAAGAACCATGCAATGAAAGTGAATTTCTTCCCCAAGAGGCCCCAATTCCATCAACCCATCATCGAATCCACGAAGCCATCTCCTGGCTCTAGGTCTCTTTAAGAGGCGTGATCTTATCTTCTTTAAGGTCAGTGCTTTAAAGGGTAGTGCCTGACCTATGCAGCAAGGTAGTCACCTCCTTCATTCTAGAGATTAGGCCTCTGGGAATGCAGTCCAAGTTTCCACTAGCTTTATCGACAGCTAGTGCATATCACACCGCTGCATGAAATACTTCCTCGAGTATCAGTCATGCAAACCTGGGTCTAAATCTTCAGCCATATGATCTGCCCAAGTGCTTTCACTTCTCCGAGCCTTGGTTTCCTCATGGGTAAAAAAAAAATAACAGCTCCTCCCCCACAGTAGCATGTGCCTCAGAATTGTCGTGGGGATTAAACGAGATGCCATCAAGATTCCTGGTGCGAATCCTGGTGCTCCACACTGTTGGACTCCTTCCCTCACCGAGCCCTGCTGCTGGCCGCGACCCCCTGTCCTGTGTGCCTGTCCCCAGCGCGCGCGCTCCTCCTCTATCCCCCAGCACCACTCGGGGTCTCTTCTGGACAGTCTTCCCTCAGCCAGGAGCATGTGAGGGGTCCTTCCTTTGCATCCCTACAGTCCTCTGTGCCCCCTCCTCACGACACCGGTCACGCTGTATTGCTACCATTGGTGTGGGTGTCTGTCCCCCATCACACGGTGAGCTTCTGGAGGACAGGGCCTTGTCCGCCCCATGTGTGGCCCCACATGGAGACCTGCGAATGTCTGGAAGGAACGCAGAGACAGATGCTCACGTGCCAGCCTCATGGCAGCCATGATAGCCATCTACAATGAAGACGACTACAGAGCAGCAAGACAGGGCCAGGGAGAGGGCCGGAGCAGCCCTGCGTCCCCACGGGCACAGAACCACGCCTCAGGCCATCCCAGCAGCCAAATGTTTCTGTGTGAGATGCCATCTCTTCTCCCCACTGCCTGGCCCTACAACCTCTCAGGATGGGAAGTGCAGGGGCTCAGCAGGGCGGTTCTGTGGATGCAGGCAGGCCCCACCCAGAAGGGGCGGTCAAGACAACGTGCATCAGGTGTCCCCTCTAGGTCAGGGGGAAACAGGGACAATCCCGGTCCCTGCTCTCAAGAGCCTGGGGGACACGGGGACACCCTCAGCTAAAATGCAAGGCTAAGCAAGGTTGAAACTAGGCGCACGCTGCCCAAGAGTATTACAACCTGCACACCGTACACGTCTGTAAAGCAGGGGTAGCAGACCTAAGAGCTGTGGTGAGGAGAAAATAAAGTTTTAGCGTGGCAAGTGTGAACATCAGAGCCTGGCCCAGGTAGGCAGCACCACACACATGTCTCATAGTATAACAATACTATGGTAGTGGGTGCATGCACTTGTTACACACACGTACATGGGTGTGTACCGGGTGTTTCACCCGTGTGTGGAAGGGGAGCTGGAAAGCTCTCTGCCAAGGTAGCGAGACTGGTGTCACCGAAAGGTCCTCGCCAGAAAGCTGTGTGTCCTGTGCCCCAGGACTTGACGTACCGGACATCAGCCCAGTTGGGTAGCACTGGGAGCACTGGGTAGATGGCCTACAGGTATTCTTTCTTTTCTTCTTTTGCCTCTCTAAATCTGATTTTTTTTTTGGTAATGTAAATGTACTGTATTTGTAATAAGGAAAAAACCAATAAAAACTATTTTTATATTAAACAAAAATAATGGGGAGAAAGGAATGCTTCATTCTTTTTCATTTGCTTTTGTTTTGCTTTGTTTCCTAATTAGAAAAGTAATAGGTGCTCATTGTGGATGATTTGGAAGGTATAATGAAGAAAACAAAAATCACCCATAATTCTACCACCCAGAGCCGCTGACATTGCATTGCATTTTCTTTTCATATATTTTCTGTGCATTTAAACTTGGTTTCCCAACCTGTTGTATATTCAGTTTTGTTATATGCTTACAGCATAAGCGTATAACATCATTTATAAACATAATTTTAAAATCCAGGATAATATTCTATCAAGTACCTGTAACCCAGTGCACTTAACTCTTCCCCCATGGCTGGATATTCAGTTTCCTCCAATTTCCTGCTATTATAAATAAAGCCTCTGTGAACATGTGCACAAGAGGCAGCATTTGGATTCTTTCCACAAGACAGACTTCCAGGAGTGGAATTACTGGGTCAAAGGATTTGGAGATTCTTAAGACTCTTGGTACACACTGCCAAGCTTCCTTCCAGATATGCACCAACTGATGAGAAATTACTAATTCTTCCCAGGCACATCAGGGAAGGAGATGAACATGCCAGGAGAATGAGGGGAAGAGCCTTCAGGCTGGGGAGCAGTGGGCTCCCGAGCAGAGAGCTATGGGATGTATTTAAGAGAGTGGTCTCCATGGTTTTGTAGCTAGAATGTAAAAGTGGAAAGATAATCAGAGGGTCTGACGGCATAGGTGTCCTGAGTACCAAGTACGTGAGTGTGGATTTTCTAAGCAATGGGCCACCCCAGATAGTTCTAGAGCATATGCAGGCAGTTTTGTTTCTTAGTGCCCATTCCGTCTCCTCCCATGTCCAACCCCAAGGACACTCTTGGGATCGGGCTTGGGCTCAGGTAGAATGACACCAGTGCAATTCTACAGCCTGATACATGGAAACCGTGGTCCTGGAAGCTCAGACAGGAGGCGTCTCCCGAGAGCCTAGTGTGCTGGCACTGACCTGGTTTGCTTTATAGAAGAAATCGCCGAAAGGTCCTCGCCAGAAAGCTGTGTGTCCTGTGCCCCAGGACTTGACGTACTGGGACATCAACCCGGTCGGGTAGCACTGGGAGCAAACACAGGGGGATCTCACTGGAACACATACATGCTGCCAATACAAACCACGTGAGCCACTAACGTGCAGCCCTTCCGGCAGGCCAAGCACCTGACAGGTGCTATCTTAGAGGATCCTCCTAGTCACCCCAGAGCTGGGACTGTCATTCCCAATTTTCAGATGAGGCCCAGAAGCTTCTCCAGAAAGGAAATGGTGAGACTGGGATAAGAACCACAGGACCGACAGCCTTACCTTCAGAGGTCTCAGACCCACACGACTACAGGGGCCCTGCACGTCAATCACTGAGTAAAGAACTGAGTATGAGATGATTAATGGCAATTGACACTCTCAGTATCAGGGAGACAACAGGGGGTGGTGGGGACTGTGGTAAACTGGTGAGTACATGAATGCTCCTTCTAAAGGAGGAAGTTGCTTTGCAGATTCCGGGATATAGTTTGTGGGGCTGATGATGCCCTATCTTCTGATTCTCTAAGAGGGGCAGGAGACCCAAATTTTCATGTAAAATCTCCCATCTTTGAAATGTCAGAAATTAATTCTAAATTTTAAAACACTATGTAGGCCCAAACCAAATATATTTCTGTGCTGCAATCAGTTTGCAGGCTACTCATTTGCAACCTCTGCGTTACCTGTCACTGTCTCCTGGCTGGCTGAAAAAAGTCAAAGTTGTGGAGGGGAATCCTTCATGGGGGTGGGCAGTCCACATTTCCTGCAGGCCTGCCCACTCTGGGCCAGGCACCATGCTGGGGCTGCAGGGAAGACAGCTAGACCTTAAGCTCCATGAAGGCAGCCAGTGCCTGAACCTTGGGAAAGACTTATAAATACCTCAGTGAATGAATGAATGAATGAATGAATGGATCAATCAATCAATCCAGGTTCAAGACCTCTCCTCAAGGAGCTCACAAACTAGCAGTGATCAAAGTCTCATACACTCAAGGTAGAGACTACCTAATACCCCATGAAAAGGACAGAATGCTGAAAGAACCCTAAGGAGGTACAGTCACTTCCAATGGAGTAGGATCAAGGATGGCTACCTGGAGGAGGAGGCGTTTGAGCTGGATCCTGTAGGTTAGGCAAGGTTGCATTCACTAGGGACACCTCAGTGCCTACCTTCGGCTCAGGTCATGATCCCAAGGTCCTGGGATCAAGTCCCTCATCGGGCTCCTTGCTCAGTGGGGACCCTGTTTCTCCCTCTGCCTCTGCTGCTCCCCCTGCTTGTGTGCTCACTCTGACAGGTAAATAAATAAAATCTTAAAAAAAAAAAAGATTGCATTCACTAGGGATAGGAGCAGGAAGGCAAAGAGGGTTCTGGGCATCAGGTGTGGTATGGTCAAGGTAGGACAACCCAAGACACAGGAATGTGAGGGGGGAGGGGGAAGCTCTGATAGGACTGGAAGGGTGTCTGGAGTGAGAATATAATCAAGTTTGAAGGAGACTGGGCTTTGGTCACCAGACATGCTTTTAAGTACCCACAGCTACCTCTGGTAGCAGCTCTGACTTCGTTGGGTACCATATGCATAAAGCAAGGGAAGTCCTCAGCCCTCCTGCAAGAAGTCTGGGAGGGAGGTTACAGTTCTCCTCCTAACTTGCTGGAGGCTTGTCTCCGAGCACACCTGTTTTCTGGCCCCAGTCTTGGGGGGAGGCACAGCCCCAGCTGTGGCTTGAGCAGCCCTATGGCACAGATAGCACTTAAGGAGAAAGGAAGGATTCTTCTGTGTCTTCAGCACCCACACGGAGCCTGCTTAATACATACTTGTTAAACAGAGCTGACACTGAACTTCTGTTCTTCCGCATGGGATCACTTTACCCAAGGGGCCTTGGGACAGTGACATCATCATTCTGAGCTTCAGTTTCTTTATCTGTAAAGTGGGATAATATGATCTACTCTGCAGGATGGTTACGAGGTTATGAGGTTGAAAAGAGATGATGAATATGAAGAGCTGGAAAGAGTGCGTGGTGCCCAGAAGGTGCCTGAGAAATGGGAGTTCCTCCCTCTCATCCCACACGGGAGGGAAACCTAAAAAACCCGCCTGCCTTCCCAATTTGCAAAGACATTTCCAGCTCTTCCCAGCCAGCGGCTTAGGGATAATTAAGCAACTCTCTAAAGAGAGGCTTTCCGGTAAACGAAGGAGAAAATCAGCCTTGCAGCTGGGAGAGCTCCAGCTGCCCTGAAGAACTGTCTCCAGGCTTATCCTTTCAACAGAAACACACCCAGACAAGCAGCTTGGGGAAGCAGGCCATTTGGAGAGGATTTGTGGGATCTCCCAGACAAACAGTTGCGTGGAGAAGGGACCCCATCCAAGCTTCTGTGTGAAGGAATAAACACTCGGGCTTTGACGGAAGTCAGGGAAGGCAGGAGTCAAGACAGTGCTCGGGGCCTGGAGTCAGGAGGCCAGGCTCACTCACCGGCCACAATTCTTACTCCCTGTGGAGCCTGGGGCCTCCTGGGGTCTCAGTTTGCTTATCAATGAAAGGAGAATAATAATTCCCATCCTACAAGGGTGATAAAGGATGGGAAAGCTATTCTTAAATATCAGTGTTCCCTAGGATTCTGTTTGGGAAATGACGATGTCGACTATATATTAGGTTGACCTGTATGAACCCACTGTTTCTGTAAGTCAAAAATGTTAAGAGTATCAGAAGTTTCGTGTACTTCAACCTAATTATTTTTTGCACATAATTGGATCTTCAAGACCTCTTATACATCCAGTGCCGAGTCCTTGGGTCCTGGGGGGGGTGGGGGGGATTTGTACCCAGGCCATTTGTTCATCTCATCTCTGCCAAGGGCCCCACCCACCTCGGCTGCCCCCATGAGCACCCCTCCTCCTGCCCGTCAGACTGGGCACAGCTCCCATAGACCCTGTCTCACCCCTCCTTGCCTTTGGTCATCTGTCCAGGCTGAGGCCTGGAATGCCACTCCCTGCCACTGCCAATTTGTATTCCTTTTTCAAGGCCCAACTCCAATGCCCCGGCCCTTGTCTACTCCCTGAGAACGGGCTCAGGGTAGTTCCGTTCACAAGGTGCTCCACGCCCCACCTTCTGCCTGCTCACCCCCTTCTAGTCCGGGACAAGTGACTAACAAACAGCTCTCCCAGCTGTGCCTCTTTTGCCATTGTGCGTGCTCTTCCCGGCACAGAGAGCTTTGTCCCCACCCTTCCCTCCTGGTTCTCCACTCCTTCACTTCAACACGCAGCTCAAACTCAGCTTCTGCTAGGAAGGCCTGCTGCCTTCCCTGCACCCCAGCTGCCCTGAACTGGGTTGGGGCCTCCTGTCATGGCATCTATCCCATCGTCGTGCCCTGCCCTGCCCTGGTCTGGCCCCCTGTCCAAGGGTGGGCACTGTATCTGACTCCTCTCTGGAGCCCAGCAACCAGTGCACACAGCAGGGACCAGGCGACCTGGCTGCCCCTTCCCCCGGGCCCGGTGCTCGCTCTCCATGAATAGCTGAGAAAGCGCGAGGGAACAGCATAACCTTTCTCAGTCTGAGCCTCCTTTTCCTAAAATCGGTGTCTGTTGGGGCCTCAGGTGCCAGCCCCCCCACCCACCCCGGGAAAGAAGGAGATGGGAGAAGGCTTCCTTTACTCTCCCTGCTCTTTCCTCAAGCCAGCCTCCTCCCATGTGAACACTGGCTTTTCCCATATGGCTGGGCACTGCCCCATCCTGACCCAGCTGCTAAACGGAGTCCAGTCCATACCATCTTAAGGGCACCCACATGGGGCAGCTCACCTTGATTAAAACTTCAAAGTATCCTTCTGCGTTGGCAGGGCTGATGGGCGTATAGGCTCTCTGAATTTCTAAGCCATCCACCTTTCCTCTGGGAAAGAGAAGTATATGGTCAGGCAGTCAGCCAGGCATTCAACGATATGCCAGGCTAGTGAGAACTGGGGCCTGGTCGTCCCCAGTGGTCCTCTCTGAAGGTGGAGCAGAGGAAAGGGGCGCTGGGCTCCCCCACTGCCACGTGCTGGCTGTGAGACCCAGGCAGGTCACTGATCCCTTAGCTGCCCCTCTGTAAAGTGGGAACAACAATGTGTATCCCTGTAGTGTGGTTCTACTGGGATCACAGATGGGAAAGTCTTCAAAGAGTCCACTGATGATGTGAGCTGGTTTTAGGACATCACTATGGTGTTTCCTGACCTCTTCTTGACCACAGAATGAGAAAGATAAAGACTGTTAACGTTTATTAAAACACTTACTACCATGTACCAGGAGTGTCAGAATTAGAAGGATCCTCAAAGGTGCCCTAGTCCAAAGCCTGACCTCATGCATGAATCCTCTCTACGATGTTATCAACAATAGGGCCAGGATGATAATCACAAGTAATAATAGTAGCAGCCATGTTGTATCAAATAACTACTAGGCATCAAGCATACTGTGCACATTATCTCATTTAACAAATAATAACCCAGGGGCGCCTAGGTGGCTCAGTTGGTTGAGTGTCTGCCTTCTGCTTGGGTCGTGATCCCAGGGTCCTGGGATGGAGCCCCACTCCCTGTTCAGTGGGGATCCCGCTTCTCCCTCTACCCCTGCCCCTCCCCCAGCTTGGGAGCACACGCACTCTCTCTCTCTCTCTTTCTCAAATAAATAAGTAAAATCGTAAAACAAACAAACAAACAAAAAAACCCTCAAAAACCCCAATAACCCACATGAGGAAACTAAGGCTTAGGATGTTACTTGCCAGAGGTCATACAGCTAAAATTCATCCTTAGCTCTGACTCCAGAGCCGGGTTCCTCACACAACACCTCAGAGCTTCCCAGGAGCACCCAGGCACTCCTCTTTTGAGTCCTGCTGTGTGCAAAACTTTCTTTTTTTTTTTTTTTTAAAGATTTTATTTATTTGAGAGAGAAAGAATGAGAGATAGAGAGCACGGGAGGGAGGAGTGTCAGAGGGAGAAGCAGACCCCCTGCTGAGCAAGGAGCCCGATGCGGGACTCGATCCCGGGACTCCAGGATCATGACCTGAGCCGAAGGCAGTCGCTTAACCAACTGAGCCCCCCAGGCGCCCCTGTGCAACACTTTCTTCTTGGACATGTGGAAAGATTAAAAAGGCCCCATCCTGGGGCGCCTGGGGGGCTCAGTTGGTTAAGCGTCCAACTCTTGGTTTTGGCTCAGGTCGTGATTGGCTCACTCAGGTCATGAGCGATTTGGACTCTGCTTGAGATTCTCGCTCTCTGCCCCTCCCCCCCCAGTCACGCATGCGCACTCTCTCTCAAATAAACAAATCAATCTTTAAAAAAATAATAAAAAATTGAAAGGTCCCATCCTAATGTATCAAAAGCGGGAAGCTAGACTGAAATAGTCAAGAAATGCTTGGGGGACACACAAGGAAATAACAGACACAACCTGTGGCGTGGCGTGGATGCGAAGAGCACTGTGACCCCTGCTGTCACAGAGGTAAATGCGGACATGCTCCAGGCCGAGGGGCCGCGCTCATCCGGGGGCTTCAGGAGGCCTCCTGGAGCTTTTGTCACCCTCCTGGGTATGAAAGAGGCAGGCCACCAACAGGTGGAAGTGGTGACAGGACAGGAAAGAATTCCGGGCAGAGGGCACAGCCTGGGCAAAAGCTTAGAGGCAGGAAATGCAGAGCAGGTCAGGAACTGGTGAGTGGGTCACGAGGCTGGGGCAGGGCGCAAGTGTGAGGGAGGAGCAGCGAGAACCCGGTGGGAAAGGAAGCTGGAGCCTTGGAAGCCTCCTTGGCTCACCAGAAGGGAGCGACATGGTTAGCTCCATGTGTTAGGAATGTCGCTGGGGCAGCAGAGAGGGTGGAGAAGAGGGGCCAAGCTAAGGGCAGGGGGTGCTGGGCATCCCTGACTTACGGATGGAAGGTCGCATGGGGCTGTGACTTGCCCTGGAGCCACTGGGATAGTGAGCTTTCCTGACAGCCAGCCAGGCCACAGCCCGGGCACACTGTGCACCAACACCAGGGGTTGGCATGAGGCAAGTGGCTACAGTGTGACCGGTAGGAAGACACTCTCCTCGTCCTCTGCCCGCTTTCTGGTCCCTCCCCTCCTTGCCGATACCACAAATGCTGCAGTTGCCAGGGTTCGGTCCTCTGTCCTTCCCTCTTTCCATACCACATATGCCCCCAGATGGCGTCCAGGTGCCGGCTGATGACTCCCACACTCACATCTAGAGCTCATCTCTCTCTGCTGAGCCTCACACCCAGAGTCAACCATCTAGCAGATGCCTCTACCTGCAGATCCCAAAGGCCCTTGTCCCTGGGCAGGTTGGGGGGGTGGTGGTGCAAGGGGAGGGGATTAAGGTTGGGGGAGAGAGTAGCCAGAGGCTGGGAAGAGGAAGGACCTTCAGAAGAGTGGTAGAGTGTAGCTGGGGAGCCAGGCTGTCTGGGTTTAAAGCCTGGCTGCAGGAGTTACAAACTGTGTGATCCTTGGCAAGTCCCTTATTCTCGAGGACAAGCGTCCTTCTTCTCAACTGGCACTAATATTAGATTAATACCACAGACTCTAGAGCCAGATTGCTGGCCTTCAAATCGTGGCTCCACCATTTCCTAACTGTGTGACCTTGGGCAAGTTACTGAACCTCTCTGACTTCAGTTTCCTCTTGTGAATAATAACGGTACCTACGTACAGGGTTTTGTGAGGATTCAGTGAGTTCCTAGGTGTGAGCATGCAGAACTGTGCATTGGAGAGTAAATGCTACAAAAGTGTTTGCCGTTACTGTTGCTGCTGTTGGTTGTTATGAAAACACAATCCCAGAATCCTCTGAGTCAGGTAGCACTACATTTATCTTAAAGGTGATAAATGGAGGCTTAAGGGAGGCTAAGCAAGTTGTCCTCGGCCACACGGCAAGCAAATGGCAAAGCGGGGCTGCAAAGCTTCGGCCTCCCACTCTCCAAGTGTACCGTAGGATGAGGTGCTGGCCAGGCCGCAGGCTGAACTGGCAGTTCCTGGGTAGTGCAAACTGAACACAGTAAGTGTCCTCAGTGAGTCTGTCCACGGCACTGATGCAGAAGGCCAGGAAGGTCTCTGGGCTCAGCTTGGATGGGCAGCTCTGCAACAGGAAAATACCCAACAGCTAGGACCTGGGGCACAACAAACACCCAAGCAGCCACAAGCACCTTTCTCGCTCCCCACCCCTGACAGGCTATCTTTGTGGGAAAGTTTTCCCTATAATAGAGAGTAGTCCTGCCTCACCTCCCTTTCATGCTCTGATCTAAGAAGGCCCGAGGTTTTCACACTCATCTCCCCCTGCTCAGAAGCCTTCCGCGGCTCCTTCAGCCCCAGGATAAAGTGCAGCCTCCTTGGCTGGACACTGCAGGGCCCTGTGGACGAACCTCAAGCCTCATTTTCTCTTCCATGCATCAGATGCCAAACTTTTCTCTGTTCTCCCAAGAATACCCTGCTGCTTCCTATCTGAGAGTCTTTATTTGCTCGAGCTGTGCCCTTTATCCAGAACACTCATCTCCAATGTATGAAATACCTATTCATCCTTCAAACCTGCTTAAAATCCAGATCTGCAGAATTTAGAAATTGATGGGACCTTAAGATGCTCTAATCCAATATCCTCGTTTTCCATGTGGGGGAACTGAGGCCTGAGTGGTAGTGGTAGTGGCTTACTTGTCCAAGGTCACACCCTGAGCAGAAATTCAGATTCACGTCTTCTAAGTCTCAGCCCACTGCCTTTAACATTCCACCCCCCTGCACCTCCTCCAGGAAGCCTTCTCTGAATGTCATGACTCACAGATCTCTCTCCTGTAAAATGCCCAAACCTCCTTCACTCCTGGGATGACCCCACGCCCAGCTCTGGGTCAGGTTTTGAACCTGGACCTCTCTGCCGTGCAGAGTCACTGTGCAGGGCAGGGGCCAGGCTGACACTGCCACCCCGACCCGTCTTGTCTGAGGAGCAGCCCTCCCTCACCTGGGACTCCTCCCCACTGAGCAGGCTCCTGTCCTTGCTGGCTCGGGCTGCCTCCCACCTTGCCAGCTCTCGGTGATAGAGGTCAAACACACAAGGTGAGCAGCCACTGCCACAGCACTGGGAGGGCAAGGGCTCCACCGGCCGAAGCTGCAGCCAGGCTTCCTCATCGGCATCCTCCTCCCTCTCATCCATCATCAGTGGGGCTTGAGCAGCTTGGGAGGGACAACTTGGTGCTCTTCCCACAAGAGGTCTGACTCCGTGAGGCCACGGGCCCGGGCCCTCCCTCTTTGGCCTGAGAAAGGGAAAACATGTGGGTTACACTCTGGTCAACCTCGATTGCTCCCATTCTCCCTGAGGCCTGCAGGTGCCAAACTGTGTGAGCACTGGGTCAGGGACAAATCAACCCTGAGACCTGCTGCCTGGCAGGGGAGGCAGGCAGACAGGGCGCAATGATTAGAGCTGGTGCCCAAAGTTCCTGACTTCTTCCTCTGCTTTGAGTGCTGGATTAAGCACTTCACATAGAAGAGCTCACTGAATTTAAAAATATTTTAAATGATAAAATACAATAGTTACGTACAATTTAATAATTATCAAAACTATTAAAATTAAGTTAAAATGTTAGAAAGGAACATCTTTGTAACTACCACGTAGTAAAGTACAAAGAACCTGGCTAGCAACCCAGAAGCCCCTCATACGTGTTCCTTCCTGATCACCTCCCATCCCCCACAAAGTAACCATAATCCTGACCTTTGGTATAACCATTCCCTTGCTTTTCCTTAGTTTTGCCACCTTTGCATACAAACTTAACCACTATAGTTCAGCTTTGCCCAGTTTTTACCTTTACGTCAACAGAATCATTTCTTTTTTAAATAGTATTTTTTTAGATTTTTTTATTTATTTTTGTGAGAGAGCGATGGAGCATGAGTGGGGGGAGGGGCAGAGGAAGAAGCAGATCTCCCTGCTGAGCAGGGAGCCCGATGCAGGACTCGATCCCAGGACCCTGGGATCAAGACCTGAGCCCAGAGCAGATGCTTAACCAACTGAGCCACTCGGGCACCCCTTGTATCTGTTTTCTTTCATTCAGGTAAGTCACCCACCAAATTGCTGCATTTCATTTAATCTTTATAATGAGGCTGGTACTAGAGATGTCATTTTTTAAACGGGAAAACTGGGGTCAGTCATTAGACAAGATCAAAATGTAAAACGCGACATTTAGTGTTAAGTGCTAAAAAGAGAAATAACTGGGGAAAAGAAATAGGAAATACATGTGCGTGTTCCAATTGCTTATTTATTGACTTTACTTGCTTTCTGCCCATACGCTCTACATTCCATAGCTATTTTATTCACCAACGCAAACCCTATGTTCACCACAGCGACGGACACACTGCAAGCGTTTGATAAATTGGTGTTGGCGCAAGGAGCAAAGAACACCTCCAGAGCTCAGGCCTGCTTCTAGGAGGCAGACAGGGAAACACCGAAGAAAAGGGAGGAAACTAGCTCCCTCTTGACGCTGGGAAAGGGGCGCGCAGTCGATGCAGCGCTGGTGTGGTGGGCAGGGCCACTCTCGGGCTCGGGGAGGGGCAGCGGTCAAGGCTCCGCAGCAGTGAGAAGTGGGAGGTGAGGCAAGAGACTTCAGTGCACCCACTACGGGCCGGGCGCTGTGCAACTTACGCACTTCTAACCCATTTTTACAGTGAGGGACATTGGGGCTCGGAGAGAAGTGCCCTGCCCAAGCTTCAACTACCTGTAAGCGGTCAAGGGTGCCCTAAATTCAGGTTTGAAGTACTGGTATTCTAGACCTGGTCCTACCCTAGCATCTATCAAGACCACTCACCTACACACCTGCCTCCCCTCGAGAGACGTTCCTCCAGGTGCCGCCCCCCACCCCGGGAGGCGGGAAGCGCATAGCGGGTCTCACCTATGAGAAAATGAAAATAGGCGGCGGGGTGGGGCAAGGCAAATGTATCTTGGGATATGATTGGTTGAAGTGGCTGCCACTCATAAAACGAGCCTTGGCGCCCAGCCCCTTTCGCTTCCAGCAGGCCTTGCGCGCGAGAACATGGCGGCGTCCTGGTGGAGGTCTTGAGGGGGGCCCAAGTTCGTATGGCGTTGGCGTCGGGGCCCGCGAGGCGGGCACTGGTTCGCCCTGGGCGGCTCGGCCTTGGGGACTGCGCGGCTCCGAGACGCGGGGCGTACGAGTGGGGCGTGCGCTCCACGCGGAAGCCCGAGCCTCGTCCCCTGGACAGGGTGTACGAGATCCCTGGACTGGAGCCCATCACGTACGCGGGGAAGATGCACTTCATGCCCGGGCTGGCGCGGCCGGTCTTCCCGCCCTGGGACCCCGGTTGGACGCACCCAAAGTTCCGCCGCCCGACCCCGGTTCACGAGCAGCCGCTGTACAAGGATCAGGCCTGCTACGTCTTCCACCAGCGTTGCCGCCTCCTCGAGGGTGAGGCCCTAGGACGGGCAGGAGGGGACCTCGTTCCTCTTCCCAGCACTGACCCCAACTCTCCGTGGCCTTGAAACTTTGTGGGTCTCGGTTTCTTCGTCTGCGAAATGGGTAGTGATTACGCCTGAGGGTTTCAGGATTTTTTTTTTTTTTTTAAGATTTTATTTATTTGACAGAGACACAGCGAGATAGTGAACACAAGCAGGGGGAGTGGGAGAGGGAGAAGCAGGCTTCCCGCTGAGCAGGGAGCCGGATGTGGGGCTCGATCCCAGACCATGATCTGAGCCCAAGGCAGACGCTTAATGACTGAGCCACCCAGGCGCCCCTGAGGGTTTTAGGATTAAGTGGGATGAGAAATGCTGTGCTTGTGTGAGGCAGTATTAGGTTGAGTGGCGAAGTGAAAAGACCTGATTTCTGCCTCCTCCCCTGCCTCCATCTAACTCTGATTTGGGGCAAGTGTCTGAAATTTCCAGAGCCTCCATTTTCTGTGAACTCATTGGTTTTGACTAGATGGCCCACACTGACTCTTCCACCTCTTAATACCCTGGAGATGTAACTGTACATTGAATTATTAGATGGAGTTCATATTGAAAAGAGACAGCAGAAAGCATGCTTAATCTCCTGGCCTATGGCCTCATTTCACAGGATTGGTGAATGTGACAGAGAGGGACGTGATTTGCCCACACGTGCTCTGGGTTAATAGTGAACCCAGGGCTACCTATCTGGTTTCCTAGGCTAATGTCCTCTGTCAGAGGTCAGAGTTAGGATGTTTTCAAGGAAGGGTTCTGGACCTAAAAGTCATCTAGCCTATTTCTGCTCCCCTTTTCACTAAGAACAGATCAAAATGACTGAGCTGAACGAAACCAATCTGTGTGTCCAGAGCAGAACCCAGAAATTACTTTCCAGAGTTCATGGGGGCAGGGGGAGGGCTTGTTTATTGAGAGGCCCTTTCCCTATTCTTGCCTGTTCTTCCTTAGTCCTATCCCCATCACTATGGGTATAGGGCAGGTTCTGAAAACACAAAACGGTCAGGGTCAGTGGGAGTAGTATTTTCCAAGGAGTAATTAGGAAAGAAAGACCTGGAAGGATTTGGGGACTAAACCAAAGAATAAATCCTAGATTTGAAAAAAACTTAACTGGCCAGCCTCTTAAGCCACGCAAACCCATTCCTGAAAGCTGAATTTCCAGCATCTAAACATTGCCCTACCAGGGTATTGTAATGGACCTCACAAGACTTGGCAGCCCCCCCTTTTTTTTAAATTTAAACAGGCATCACACCCAGTATGGGGCTTAAACCCACAACCCTGAGATTAAGAGTCCCGGGCTCTACCGATTGAGTCAGCCAGGTGCCCCACCCTTGAGTGACCCTGGGAACATTACCAGCCTTTAGGGTAGACAGATTCAAGTTCTCCCCACCGTCACTTAGAGGGTATGTGACTTGAAACAAATTCGTTAGTCTCTGAATTTCATAAAATCCGATTTGTAGATAAAGTGCCTGGCACAGGATAGATGGTGGTGCTCAGTAAATAGCAGCTCTAATGATTAGGTATTATTTATATACTAGTGAACCATAAAAATCTCAATTTTTAAATCCACTGTCAAGTTTAAGGAACAATAGCGTGGCTCAGTCGGTTAAGCATGTCTGCCTTCGGCTCAGGTCATGATCCCAGGGTGTTGGGATCGAGTCCTGCGTCAGGCTCCCTGCTCAGGAGCAGGGGTCTTAAAAAAAAAAGAAAAAGAAAAAAGAAAAAAGTGCTATTTAAAAAAAAAAGTTTAAGGAACAGTGGCAGTGTCAGAACTAAAATTCAGGTTATCTGACTCCAGTCCAGGGTTTTTTCTGCTGCACCATAAAATCCAGAAGTTACATTTCTAAATGTTTGTATTTCCCATGTCGTATAAGCCTCAAAGTGAAAAGTCTCATTGCCCTCATAGCATTTCATTTATTAGCACAAAGGAAATTGCCTGAGAGTGTCTCCCCCAGAGTATCCTGGGCTCCGTTTAATCCCAGGCATAGCTTTATAAATGAAGATACGTCTCTGAAATGGTGGTGTTTTCCCAGCTGGCGGGAGTAGCCTGCTAACCAAAGCAGTCACCAGCCTGCTGTCAATTTGTGACTACAGTCGTGGACAAGAATACAGTATTAACTTTGTCCTGAGGGTAGGGGGCTTGTATGTGAATTTGATGCAGAACTTAGGTCCCTAGGGCTGGGCCTGTTCTTCCCTCAGGGAAGCCAGCTCTGGGGAAGGTGAAGCGAGGGACTTGTGCTTGGCATCACAGCCCATCCCACTCAGAGTAGCGGTCATTCCTTAATGTTTAAAAATGAAGCAGTCTGAATTAAATCTATTTTTGTTTATATTCCATCTTTTCCCAAAAAGTATTTCAGGCATCTTACAGAAATTTTATAGCACAGCCAAATTAAATTAAAAACATACAGGTGAGGGAATCCACACAAAGGAGAAATAAAACAGGTGAATACAAAAAATCCATTCTGTGAGGTTCCGCTTGCTAAAGGGGAGCCCCAAACATGACTCTCAGCCTGTTAACGGTATAGAGACGGGGTCAGCTGACTAGACCAGTTGCCTGTTTCTGTAAATAGTTTTATTAGAACACAGCCACACCCACTTGTTTACTTGTAGTCCCTGGCTGCTTTCCATGCTACAGTGGCAGAGATGAGTAGCTGTGACAGAATGTATGGCTCAGAAGCTGAAAATATTTATTATCTGGCCCTTTAGGGAAAAGTTTGTTGACCCCTGGTATAGGGAAGAACATTTTCAGTTATGCAGTTCACCGTGTCTTTAAGACAACCGTACTATTCCAGGAAAAGCCCAGCCTTCTGGTACCGAGGCCAGGGAGGATCCTGTGTAATAAATGGAACATGTGATCCTTCGGACAGATAACAGCAGTGCATTTCATAGGGCTTCTACATATAAAAACCTGCTTAAAGATAGCTCATTATAGAAGCTCAGGGTTAGGTGAGATGTGAAAGATTATCCATTTAAGTGCTCCCAAACTCAGGGCCCTTCAAGTTATTCATGATCAATAAGTTATTTCCATTAATTCCCAAAGCTGTTTTCCCTTGATACATCAGTATGGGGTTAATCCTTGGCCCACTCCTAATAAGTGGGATCTATTTGGTAGACATGGGCTTTTCCAATCAGGGACTTGGATGTGGGTTAGTAAAGGAATCTAGGATTTGAAATGCTGGCATCCATTGATCTAGTCCTCTAGTCTGGAGTCTGTGAATCTTGCAGGCAACAGAGGGACCCTTTCCCATAAGATTCAGCCTTATGATCCCAGCCATCTTTGCTGATGTTTGAATCCCTTCTGTGTAGGCACTCACTACCTCAGTCAACTGTTGACCATCCTCAGGTCGACAGTCATTCCTGCAGTCAAGCTGAAATCTGGCTGTCCTGGCTTCCACTCTTATTTTAGTTCTGACTCCTCAGATGTCACAGTACAAATTCTGTTTCTCTCAAGGCAGACCTTTCCCCAAGATGCTACTGGCAGACTTAAGCAACTCTTACTGAATTTCTTTTTTTGTTTTTTTGTGATTGATTACCCCAAAGGTGTAAAGCAGGCCCTCTGGCTTACCAAAGCCAAGTTAATAGAAGGCCTTCCCGAGAAAGTGCTTAGCCTTGCCGCTGATCCAGAGAACTACATAGAGAACCAAGATGAACGCCTTCTGAACGTGATCTCTCACGCCCGTCTCTGGCACTCCACTGAAGACACCCCGAAGAGAGAGGTCTACTGGTAAGTTTCCCCCACGTCAGTAAGATTTCTAGTCAGTGGATCTTAGAGTCAGCCTTTTGCCTTACGTCTCCAAACGTCTCTTCTTTCCTCCAAGCCCAGTCATTGTGGACAGTCTGATACAGCTGTGTAGATCCCAAATTCTCAAGCATCCTTCTCTGGCCAGACGGATGTGCGCCAAAAACTACACGTTATCCACCACCTGGAGTCGAGGTTGGTCATCTTGGTCTGTTTTTTTTTTTTTTTTTAAAGATTTTATTTATTTATTTGAGAGAGAGAGAGCATGAGAGGGGGGAGGGTCCGAGGGAGAAGCAGACTCACTGCTGAGCAGGGAGCCCAATGCGGGACTCGATCCCCAGGACTCCAGGATCATGACCTGAGCTGAAGGCAGTCGCTTAACCAACTGAACCACCCAGGCGCCCATCTTGGTCTGTTTTTTATCTTCCTACTCTTCACCCCACCACCAGCTCACCACCCCATGTCCGTACCTGTGCTTCTTTCCTTCCTTCGTGGCCCACTTTTGTAGAATGAGACACATCCTCCTATCGTTAGCCACAGATTGGTGTTTTTTTTTTCCTTAAGGGGGTGGTGGGAGAAGCAGAGAGAGAGAGAGAAACTTAAGCAGGCTCCATGCCTAGCGTGGAGCCCGATATGGGGCTTAATCCCACAACCCTGACATCATGACTTGAGCTGAAATCAAGAATAGGACGCTTAACCAACTGAGCCCGAGATGCTCCTCAGTTTTTTTTTATTTTAATCACTCCTTCCCATGACTTAATTCAACTGTATCTGTTGAGTACCCTTGAGTACCTAAGTGTTGAAGATAAGAAGTAATAAAGGGCAGGCAGTCTCTGCCTTCACAAAGCTCATACTCGATTGTAAGAGCCTTCTTACCCCATTCATCCTTTCCTCCTTTTCCAAATCCATTTTCCACGTAGCTGCTAGAGTGATCTTGCTAAAGTGCACTTCTCTCCCCTGTTTCAGATCCTTCACTGCCTCCCAGGAACTTAAACCGTTTATCATCAGATCCAACCCACTGATTTGGCCACCGGCTGGCTTTTCTGGTTTTCTCTCCTTACTACCCCCACCCCCACCGTACCCCCAGGCCAAATTTACACTTTAGCCACTTGCAGCTTTTTGGCATCAAGCTTTTATACCTTTTGCACTGTTGCTGTACGTTCTGTCTGGAATGCTTTTTTCTACTTTCCTTGTTTGGCTAAATTCTACTTGTCTGTGAGGCTCAGCTCCAGCCCCCTTCCTATGTGAATGTAGACATTAGCTAGTCCGCTTCTGTGCTCCTCATGCCCATTGTTCCCATTTTGATCAGAGCACATGTTGTACTGTATTGGAATTCTCTAATATCTTCTCTGTCTGCCCACTAAACTGAACCCCTGACAGCAGGGACCACATCTCACTCATTTTTCTGCACAGCGTCTAACAGTTCGTGGCATTTGAGCGGTGCTGACTGAGGGACAGGTGGGTGATTACCACCCTGAGGGGTTTCCATCAGGGATGTTCAGAGCACACCAGTGTTCTGACTGGTGGAATCCTGGAGCGGGGAAACCGGCTGTGGAATGATTTGGGATTTTCAGGACATCTGCTTGGTCAGATTTCTCCAGCTTGCCCCTTTTGAGTATGGACTTCCTGGCAAGGAATCAGCTATGCAGAGGTAATGGCACCACTAAGGAAATTAGTGAACCTCATTAATAGAGGAGTACTTTTTGGCCCATCATCAACTATTACCTCTAATTAAACTGCCCCATTTGGAGCTGTCACTGGAGGAGGGATGTGGAGGGAATTGAATTGGAAACCACACTAGAGTGGTCTGTGGGGAGAATCTAAAACCCAAGGTTAGGAGAGGTCCAGGCACATTTATCTTCCTTGCAAATTATATGTGAGGAAACAGGAAATACTTTTAGAAAACTATTCTTGAGGTGTGGGTATAATGTATTTTAACAAGCAGCTCAGAGTTTATCCATCCACAGATGTAGTATCCCTGCTTTACACACCCAGTGAGGGAGACCACATGCTAATTACATGGCAGTGCTGTGGACCAAACCAGCTTTTAGATGTAGAAGGATCACCACCCTTGATCCGTTACCATCCCATTGTGACTTGACAGTTTCTAAACACCCAAAGCACCTTCAGAGGAAGATTTGCCTCCATGGAGAATCTTCAGGAGGCCATTCACAAGGGAGCCTTTTCAGGCACATTTTGCCTGGTGGCATGCAACCTCTGTAGGGACCTCTGTGAGGGGCATGCGCACATGCTCCCAGTGGCAGCTTTGCTGATGTGTCAGGTGTGAGTCCTCATGAACTTATGTCTGTGTAGCAAGTACGCTGATCCATCTTAGGCGAGGCTTTCTGACTGGCCTGATTTTTCCTCACTCTCGGTTGTTGAGGACAACTTGGCCCCTTTCCTGAGTTTAATAACCTTTCTTCTTAACCTCTAGTCTCCTCCTCCTTCCCTCCCTCTCTCCCTCCTTCCCTACAACATTCTGCTTCTAGTCACCTGGGTTTGTCTCCCTAAACTCTGCCATGGGGGAGCCCACTTCTGTGCCTTCACACATGTTCCTCCTCCTGAACTAAAATGTTTTTCCTTCCCTTTTCTTGCCTGGGCAAACTGTCAACCAACCAAGGGCAGTTTTGCCCCCTAAGGGAGACTTGGCAAGGTCTGGAGACATTTTTGATTGTCATGACTTGAATGGGGGAAGTTCTACTGGCATCTGGTGGGTAGGGGCCAGGGATGCGGCCAGACCTCTGCAGTGCACAGGACAGTTTCCCTCATCGAAGAATTATCCAGTCCCAAATGAATTGAGAAACTCTGCTCTTATCTATCCTTCGGAAACTAGTTTGAAGGCATACCACTTTCAGGAAGTTTCCCAGGCCTCCCAAAGGAGGTCAGTTTGTCCCACCTCTACTATCTCTGAGTACGGTTCATACCTTTGTATGCACTTACCAGCTAGGAAGCTTCTTGAGAGCAGAGGGTAATGCTCACTCATTTCTGGGTCCCCAGCATAGAGCAGGTGCTTGTGAAGATCTGTGTGGGGCAGCCCTGAACCCACAGAGACTGCCAGGTGGCCTCAGGGCCCATTGGCAAGGGAACACAGGAAGAAGAGTGCTTTGGTTGGTCCCCTTCTCAACATCTTGACCAAAGTTTTGTTTTCTGCGATCGTACTGATCAGCTAGGAAGGCAATAAGACTTAAGGAGCATGGCAGGATGAAGGCTCTAGGCTTGGCTGAGCTAAGTCTTTAGACCAGGGTAGCCTAATCGTCTTTCTCCCCTTTTAGAGTCTTTTCTCCTTCAGGTCCGTGGTTCCAGTGGAGCCCGACTGAATACCAAGGATCCGCTGCCCACCGTCGCCTCCAAAGAGGAGGTTGAAGCTACTGAGAATCACGTTCTTGAGACCTTCTATCCCATATCTCCCACTATTGATCTTCAGGAATGCAGTGTTTATGATGTGGAAGACAACACAGGTAAGTGTCATAGCCGTGCATATCCAGGCAGCGTGGAGATGAGGGACGCGCATTTTCTCCTAAGAGCCATGTAGCAGCCTACCCCCACTTTGCTTTTGACCCCTGAGAGGTAACGTGGTACCTCAGAGTTGTAACGTGTGGCTGAGGGGGCTTCTGGCCAGGCCCCAAGTGTTTCCTTTATTCACAGGTCCCTTGAAAGACACCCCTCTTTCTATGCACCCGTAAACCCTGGCCAACCTCCTGCTAGGATGGAAGAAGCCCCACAGGCCTTAAATGGGGCTATTCATCTCAACTCCATCGAATAAGGCACCACCATTTCCCCTGGCTGCCATGACAGAAACCAGAGCATCAGGCCAGGCAGGCCCACGGCTCATACCCTCTAGTCCGTCCCTAGGAGTTGTAGCGCCTTCCTTCTAACCTCCTCATCTCCACAGCAACAGCTTGCGGCAGGCCCAGCCTGTTGCCACAACCCCCCAGCTAGCTGGCCGGCCTGACCTGGTCTGTTTTCTCTCGGTCCGTCTGGTTCCCAGTTCTCGAGGCACCCTCCTGAGACACGAACTCCGTCCCTTCTCTCCGCGCCTACTCCCCGGTGCCCATCAGGTACAGGTGGAAGTCCTCAGCCTATCACATGAGGGCCTTCGGGTCCCGTCTTGGCCCCTTTCTCCAGCCTCACCCTGGTCCCGTCCCCTGCACGCGCGCCCCTACCCCCATCCGGCTACACGTAACACACCGTGCCCCTTCTCACCACAGGCTTTGGTACGTCCCCTCCCCCCTGTGCCTGGGGTTTGTGGCCTCCCACCTTTTTTTGTCCGTCCCCCCCACCCCCGCTGTGCATAGTTCATCTTAGGACTCACTTCTTCTCCGAAGTGCCCTGGGGTCTTCCCTTGTCATCAGGGGCCTTTCATCTGTGCTTCCCCAGCCCCCAGCTCACCCCGCTCAGATGTTCACATGTCCCTCTGTGTGGACCCCTCCAGACTGAGCCTCTCCGAGGCAGTGGCAGGCTGCCCTCGGCCTCTGCTCCTGGCCCCGGTCTAGCCCCAGTCTGTCCCTGGCGCCTGTCTTAGGCTGGGCGCACAGGGAGTGCTGAGCCTCTGAAGCAAGGATAGAGGCCCATGGAAGGGCGTCTCTGTCAAGTAGTGCTTGCTTCGGGGATTTTCAGAGCCCATGTTTTCCCAGCTTCTTCCTCCTTGTCACCCCCTTTCACTAACCCAGGTTACTCATGCTGGAAGCTGCCAGCCTACCAAGGGTTTACTCCTAGCCATGCAAGGGACGAGAATGATGGCCTGGCAGGGTGGTGGCTGGGATGAACAAGGGCTCAGCTTTGATCCTCAGTGCCAGTATTTGCAGATCACTTGTGAGGCATGAGGCAAGTTGTTTATTGCTAATAATAAAGTATGGAATTTTGCAAATGATTGGCTTTTAAAAAAATAATTACCCTAGTTTTCAGGTTTTCTACTAACATCACTATCATCTATGTGCTTGAATGAGCGAGAAAGGGGTAGAGTTAGAACCAGCACACAGGAATCACCTGGCGCGGGTTGGCAACATTTTCAATAAAGAGCCAAATAGTACATATTTGCAGGCCACATATGGTCTCTGACAGCTACTCTGTAGACATTGTGTCAGGGAGTGGGCATGGCCATGCGCTGGTAAAAACTTTATTTTCCAAAATAGGCAGGGGGCGGGGGGCCGATGTGGCTGGCAGACTGGTTTGCCATCCCCCTGAGCAACAGTGATAACATCTGCCTTTACGGAGTCTCTGTGGTGCCTTGCACTGAGCCAAGGTGATGTGACTTTCCCAAGGCTTTGGGACAGGCTGGTAATCCTTTCTGTTCCTCCACGTGATTATGTGTCTTGCAGGATTCCAGGAGGGTTATCCTTACCCCTATCCCCACACCCTGTATTTCCTGGAGTCAGCCAATTTACGACCACACCGCTTTCAACCAGATCAGCTGCGGGCCAAAATGATCCTGTTTGCCTTTGGCAATGCCCTGGCTCAGGCCCGGCGCCTCTATGGGGTATGTATGGGGAGAAAGACCACTCAGCGACTTTACATGGTGTTGGCTTCCTGCCTTATACCGCTCACAGAAAGAAGGGAGGTACAGGGGGCATTCCTTGCTTGACTGAGGAGTTCTCCCGACAGGCACTTCCACGCACCCTGCGGAGAGAAACCGACATCTGCTGGGGCCTCCTGTGTGCCTGCCTGTCTTTTACATAAGACAGCTCATTTGTTCATCAAAATAGCCCACAAGCTTTCTTTATCATCCCCATTTTCCAGTTAGGGCCCTGAACTCAGGGAGGCTAAGCAGCGTGTCCAGCCTTACACGGCAGCGAGTGGTGGGGGAAAGGTGAGAACGAGACGTGCCCAGCTCCTACGGCTTCAGTTATTTGCGCGCTAGTACACCCCTCGGTTCCATGAGAGCGGATCTGGGGCACGAGGCTCCATGGGCAGGAGGAGGTGAGGCAGTAGAGATGATGCACGCCTGTCTGCCAAGTGAGGACAGGCTTGGGGACCAAGGTGCCACCTGGTGATAGCCCCTTGATTCTGAGACGAGGTCTCAAGGGCCTGGATGGTGTAGAATGCAGGCTACTCAGCCTGTCCCCAAAATGGGGGAAGGCTTGCCTGGGAGCAAAGGCCTCCAGGGAGGGAGTAGGGAATGGCAGTATGGGATTCCCGAGCAGGCTGGGGACACGGGTGTGTGTGTGTGTGTGTGTGTGTGTGTTGCTGAGAGCTGCCAGCTCCCAGGTCTGAGTGTGTGTGTGTGTGTGTGTGTGTGTGTGTGTGTGTGTGTGCGCGCGCGCGCGCGCGCTTTGCTGAGAGCTGCCAGCTCCCAGGTCTGAGGCCCTCCAGGAGGAGTGTCCACAATGTTCTGTTTCCCATCCTACTCGTCTAGGAACTAGGTGGGGTTGGAGAGATGTGGTTGGGCAAACGAGGTAGGGAGTGGAATGGACCTTGCCTATGTTGAGCATTTGCTACCTGCCAGTTAATTAGGGTTCTTTATATCAGTGTTTCTCAAAGTACGGTCCTGGATTAGCTGCATGAGCATCATCTGGGAACTTGTTGGAGGTATAAATTCTACTGCATCAGAAACTGGGGGTGGCGCCCAAGTAGCCAGCGTTGGAAGCCCTGCAGGTGGTGCTGGCATTAGCTCGGGGTTGAGAACCACGGCACTGAGGCTGGAGAACCACTGCGTTGTTCAGTCCTCGTAGTAGCCCTCCATGGCAGATGCTCCTAGCCTCGTTTTACAGCTGAAGAAACTGAGGCTCAGGGAGGCCAAGTACCTTTCCCAATGTCATGCAGCTAGGAGATTGGCAGCTGTTACATCTTTATGTGACCTTCTTGTGTCTTCTAGTCCTCGAAGGTTATTTTTGTTCCCATTCTTTGACTACATACTCATGAAGGCTCTGGAAGGTTAGGTGACTTTCCCGAGGTCCCATAGCTGTTGAGTGGGGAAGCAAGCACCAGAGCCCTGATTCCTCTAGTCTCAAAAGATGTGCCGCCTCTCAGCCCGGGGGCAGGGGAAGGGAGCGGGCACGGCCGCACGCCGGGGACTGGGGCTGCAGGCCCCTCGTGGCTTCCGTACCGGCTATTGCCAGCAGGGCATGGGGAGCCACACTGCCGCTACTTGCCACCCAGTTGGGTAGGAGGGGAGACCTCCACCCACCCGCTCCAGGTACAGATTATTCCTGGGGATGTGAAGTTGAGCAATTATGGGAAGAGCCTCCATGTAAAAGGTAAAATTGCTGAGAAATTTATGTACTACCTGCAGTTTTATTGATCTGTAGAGGGAGATAAGAGTCAATACAGAATTCTCAGCTAACACTTAGAGGTACTTTTCTTTTTATTTATTTCTCATGCAGCTAAGAACAGGTGTTTCTAAGGCCAGCAGTCCCGGTGTGGCCCACTCCGAGGTCTGACATTAGCTATTCCTGATGTCACACTCCGCTCTGGAGCGGTGAACATAGGCGGCATTTTTGGATCAAGGATGCTTTGCTCCATGGGGCCTGCCTGCTGGATCTTTGTCCAGCGGGTGGCCATCACCTGACTGGACTGTTGCGGAGCCTCGGGGGGGTGAGCGTGTCGTTTCTGACCCACCCTGGGACACTCCTGGGAGTGAAAGGAGGCACCACTGTCCCATAGCATGGAACACTAGGTGTCAACCACGAGGAGAGGGGTTTCAGTGATTTCCTAGCATGGGGTCTGATCCTGGCTCACGTCTCGTGGGCAACCTTGCACAATGATAGCACCTCTCTGGAGCTCAGTTTCCCCATTGGTGAAGTGGGACTGGATGGCTGGATTTGTGCAATTACCAGTGACTGTAAAGCCGGCGCCAGGCCTGGAACGTGAGAGGCGTGCGGGAGCTTGTTTCCACTGTGATTAGTACCAAGTGGCGCTCCCAGAGAGAGAGAACCCGCTCACATGCCGCCGGCTGTAAAGCCTGCTGCTGACACGGTGGGGTGGACACCCCGGCAGTCAGATGCCTTCTCTGAGGCACTCCGGGAGCCCTGAAGCCCAGGCCCAGTGATGGCCTGCAGGGCCGGGCGGTCCAGGGCGCCAGGAGGTGAGCTTGTATATTCACTGAGCCTCCAGGTTAACCTTTGATGGAACTGATGTCACTGTTGTCGCCATCAGGTAACGCCATGGGTTTAGGGATTTCCTGTCACCTTCCTGTACTCTGCCACTGGCCCAGTCATCACCCCAGCGGCAGGAATTGCTACTTTAAGGTGCTTATTAACCAGGAGGCGCCAGGTCAGGCAGAGCTGGGCTGGGGGAGGGAGGGACAGCCTCGCTGTGGTCAGTGCCCTGAACTGTCTCCATCGCTCCATGGTAAGAGCCTTAAATGGGAGCAGGCATTAGTTGCAGAGGTCGGAGCTCGAAGCTGCCGGTTCTGTGCTATTCTTTACACCCCACCGTTTCTGGTTTCATTTACTTGTCCCTTTTGCCTCTCAGAATGACACTAAGGTTTTGGAGCGGCCAGTAGTTGTGCAGAGTGTGGGCACCGATGGACGTGTCTTCCAGTTCCTGGTGCTGCAGCTGAACACCACAGAGCTGGCCTCTAACAAGGGCGTCAAGAATCTGGTCTGGGTGGACTCAGACCAGCTCCTCTATCAGCATTTCTGGTGTCGCCCAGTGATCAAAAAGAAGGTGGTTGTGGTAAGTCCTGCCATCTCCAGCCTGGTGATTGGACCAGGGCCATGACTCCGTGTCCCCAGAGTGAGCCGGGGGTGGAGTTGAAGGGATGCTTGCAGGTGGGACCTGGGCCCTAGGGACTTCCTGCCCAGGATCTCTACCTGGAAGACTCCTTCTACCCTGGGCCCTGCCCGGCCCTCCGTGGGCCCCCCCCCGCCCGGCAGCTCCTCACAGAGCCCCCTCGTGCCCTGCTGCTGGTAGCCCGGGGCCCCCGTAGGTGCTGCTGCTTTTGTATAGGAGGCGTCTCCCTTGTCCCCCCGCCCTCCAGTTCTCTCGAGTCTGGCCGTCCTCTAAGGACCCCCGTCCTGCTGCTACCCTCACCGCAGTGCCTCGGGTGGGGCCCCATAGCCCCCGTGTTCCCCCATCACAGCACAGTCCCGCTGCTGTTTCCAGGTTTTTCTCCTCCATCAAACCGAGCTCCAAGCTCCTCGGAAGCCTTTGTTCGTTTCTTCCCCCGGACAGGGGATTCTTCCCGGGGCCTGGTCACTGCCGCACCCCCGTGCCCCACTAGCAGAGGCCCGGCCTGCTTTCTGTGCAGCAGGCAGTGACCGTTCTGTATTCATCCTGTGAGGTCAGGCAGCGATAAGCGCTCTGAAGGGACAAGGCAGCGTCGGGGGCTGCGAGAGAACAGAATGGGGGTGCAGCCGGCTCTGCAGCTGGCTGTGGCCTGGGGCCCGCACGGGCCTGAGCGGATGTGCTGCGTGCAGCTGGTGTTGGGTCTCTGAACAGAACCGGCGTGTCAGCTGCCCTGTTAGCTCTCGAGGCAGTGCCGTCTCTGCCCTGGAAATGCCTCCCCGGCCGGGGCCCTTCTCTTTGGCCCCTGACCCCATTGTGTGTCACCTGCAGCCACCCCAGCTTCCTCTGCACTCTCTGCTCTTATCCTGCTCTCCTTCTCCCCAACGTGTCTCTGGGTCCTCCCTTCCAGAACACTGACGTAGCGGCAGACGCCTCCTGATTGGTCAGATGGTTCCTGCCCCCGGCCCCCAGCACAGGCCCTGGGCTCCAACCTCGCCCTTCTGCTTCCTGCCTCTGCACTGGCGCGTAGACTTGTCTCTCGGCAAACACATGCCTTTCCTTTTCCTCTCTGGCCCATTCTCCTTGCTCTAGAAGACTCAGTTCATACGTACGGGAGACCATGAGATCTCTTCTTCCCTGCTTTCTGAGCATCTTTTCCCTACGTCCGCTGTGAGGCCTGTCAGCTTTTATTATCACTGTTTGGAACATCTGGCTGTAAGCTCCTTGAGGGCAGAGCCAGATTCAGGCCACTGTCGGGTTTCTAGCACGGGGCACAGGCCCAGTACAGAGAGAAGGGACCTGATCCACGTGTGTGGACGAGTGAGGGATTATTGTCCCCAGGAATGAAAAGGGGGCAACAGAGCATTGGTTCGTGGTGGTTGAGGTGAGAGGGATAGGGGGTGAGGGCGGTGCCAACAGACGGTCTGGCCAAAAGCACTAGGAGAGCTTCAAGCCCCCCAGCCCAGCCCCTCAGGCGTCTCTTCACTGCCAGCTCCCTGGTGCCCCTCCTTGGTCCATGAGAGGAGACAGTGACTATCCAGGCATTTAGGTTTTGCATAAAACCAACTTTTGTTTTCAGTGCTGCCATTAAACCTAGTAGCAGGATCCTAATGGGCTGTGTTCTTTCCAGGAACCTGTTGGGCCAACTGGTTTCCAGCCAGAGACATTCAGGAAGTTTTTAGCTCTGTATTTGCATGGTGCTGTGTGAGCCAAGGACCATTCTGAGGTCTGAAGCCCCCTTGCCCCCCTCCCGCAGAAGATCCTGTATCCAGAGCAGTGCTGGGCCTGCCCGGAGCCTCCGTGCTCATCCGGCCTGCTGTCTGGCTGCCAATAAAGAGCCTTCTGGTACACTGGAGCCTGGGCCTGGTGTGGGGGGCCATCAGGAGGGGCGCCCGTAGCTGTACGTGGGCCGCGCCGTGAGCCGGCCTCCGTGCAGGTGCAAGCTCGGGAGCCTGACCTGCCCCACCTTGAGCCCGGCTCTGCCCACAGCCCACTTGGACTTTAGATAAGAATCTTCGTCTCTTTGAGTTTCACCTTCTTCACCTGAAACTTGAGAGTAACATGGCCTCCCTTGTTTTGAAGACTGTAGATGCGTCTAGAGCATCTGCCATAGGATAGGTGCTCTCTGATGCTCCCTGGGTTCTCACGGGACTCTCTAAATTGTGGGCACATTTCATAATGCCTGCAGGAAATCTGAATAGAACATTCATCGTACATTTCTCCCTAGCATCCGGGTTAATAGACCAAGTACATCCCTGGTTCTGCTGGCCTCTCTGTTCACATCACATCCAAGTTCTGCTCAGGGCCCAGCACCTTAGATACAGCACCCTGTTTAATCCTCACATGTCGTTTCCGCGCTCAGGGAAGTGGTTGAGTGCCCATGTGCCGGGCACTGTTCTGTGCCCTCGAGATAAGGGAACTCCAATAGTATAAGGTCCCCTAGGTCACATGGCGGGTGGTACAGGTCAGCTTCCTAGGAGAACACTTAGGGATGTGCAGGTGAGTTTGGGGAGGGCCTGGAGGACCAGCCCCTGTGGGGAGTGATGGGGCAGTGCTGGGCAGAGAGCCTGAGCTCAGTGGGTTTGCATCTGACGTCTCGGCCAGCTCCCAGTTCTGTGGCTGCTCTGAAGCAGAGCTGTCCCATCCAGAGGTGAGGAGCTGAGCCTTTCTGCGGACACCACTGGCCTGCCACCAGTCACTGGATTGTGTACACACGGTTCCTCGGAGTGGGAGAGAACTCAGGTGAGGTTGGTGGAGGGCGACTCCCAGAGGGACTTGGCTGAGAGCAGGTAGCCACGGAAGCAGTTAGGTGTGCCCTGCTGCAGGGCCTCTGAGGAGCCATCTGGGAGCACCTGACGTAACGGCCTCGAGAGCTTGTAAATGGCAAAGTGGAGCTCCTACCTGTGTGGCTCCCATGCTCGTCCTCCATCCACTTTGCAACTTACCTTTTAGGCTTGGTGGGATGGTGGTGGCAGCTCGGAGCCAGGCGGGGCTGGCTGAAACCCCTGGAGACCAGTGGAAGCGGGGAGGGCAGGCTGAGGGCAAAGCCAGCCTGTGGGAGGGAGGCTGTGAGTCCGCCAACCGCGCCAGCCAACTGCCAGCAGGTGGCCTTGCAGTTCAAGGCTGCCCTGGGAGGGGCCGGTGCTGCAGGGTGGGCCTGGGCAGCAGTCCACCTTGAGTAACAACAGCCCTAGTGGGCTGGCCTTGGTGTGTCCCCTGTGGATCTCAGAGCTGAACTCTGGTCCCGCGCAGCTGAGCTGCAAGGTGAGGCAGACAGGACTGCTGTGTTTTACCCCCCACACTACAGGAAGGGGAACTGAGGCTCAGAGACCGAGTGGTGTTACGTAGTGTGAAGAGCTGGAAGTCTCACACGTGATGACAGCTGCCTTTTCCACAGAGCGGTCTCCACTTCCCCCAAATCCCAAGTGCCCGCAACCTCAGCCTCCCCACCTGCATCCAGGGTAGGCTTGCTGCCTAGGGTGAGGAGTCTGGCCTGTCCGCAGCAGCACAGCCCCTTCTAGCTGTCACCTCGCCCCCGACCCCAACACACACAGCACGGATCTCCTCATGCCCAGCCGGACCATGGTGGCACCTACCGCTAGGTCAGGCCTGGGGACTGAGCCCTGAGGTTCCCCGCTACAGACCTCCTCTAGGGGCAGTCCAGCAATTCTGCCCAGTTTAAAAGCACGTGCTGGGAGCCGGAGCTACAGAACGAGCCCTGGTCTCTTCTCCAGGAGCTCCCAGTTTGCCAGCAGACGCTAACAGCAGTCTGCTCTGGATCCATGGAAGCCGTGAAGGCCACCTTTCCCCTGCCTGAGCTGCTGCCCACAGGTGACAGTATGCAGGGGAGACTACCCAACAAACATCCAGTCCCTCCATGAATGAGCGCCCGCTGGGTGACTGGGGACAGGGAACACTCAGATGTCCCCAGCTCTGAGGAACGCCCGGCCTGAGGTGCTTGCTGCGGGGGGGGAGGCACAGGCCGAAGAGTGGCAGGGAGGGCGCTCGGTATTGTCACCCTGTAAGCAGGGGTCGGGGAGACGGTGAGGCTCGAGGCAGGATCCCCTCCCAGCTCAGCACCCCGCACCATGGCTGCAGCCTGCCTGGAGAGCGCCGGCGGCCTGGGGCCCGCTGGCAGAGGCTCGGGGCTCCCGAACAAAAGCCTTCAGAGCCGAGTGCGGCTCAGCCCGTCTGGGTGCGTCTGCCCCAGCCGTGAGGTCTGCCGAGTCAGAGGCGTCTGTGTGAAGAGCCCAGAAACCTTGCTCAAGAGTTGGGAAGGGCGAGATGCGAGCTGCTCCCGGCACCCTGTTCGGACTCCCTGTCCCAAGCAGGCGTACAGGGGCACCGGCGGCCCCTCCGGGTGCAAGCCCCTCACGAGCGCCAGCTCATCCTCACAACCACCCTGCGAGGAAGGTTTATAGATGAGGAAACAGGACATGGGGAGGAACGCACTCGCCCACGGCCACAGGGAAGTAGTGGCAAAAACAGATCTGAAACTGGCAGTTTGCGTCTGGAAGGGTCAGACCTCGTGAAGGTCTACTGAGCCCACATTTGGCTCCAACACGGTTTCCCTCCCCTCCTGCGGGCCGGGAGCAAGGTCCCGGGAGCTCGAGGGAAGCAGAAGTCCTACTTTCTAAATGTGCACACCCGCACACCCAACGGCTTACGTGGCCCTGGCTCTACTGTGTGGATGGAGGCTGGAACTGGGTCTCCCCATGTCTGCCCACCCCCTGCCAGGATGCCGAAGGCTACCCTGAAAAATCCTTGGAGGCGAAAACAAGACCAAACTGAAAACAGGAGAATCAGGGTCCCGGGGGGGCCCCCCAGCCTTGGCCTAGGGTGGAGTCCACCCGAGTGGGAAAGGCTGTGCGGCTACAGCTCCCGGGGGGCCCCCCTGGCCTGTGTGGACCCCCCGTGGAACACGGAACCAGGAACCTCTTCTACTTGCTGAAAAATACCTTCCGGCAAACCAGCGTGTGTCTGCAAGACAAAAAGCTGAAGGTGCATTTTAGAATGCCCCCAGATGTCTGACATGAGACTGTGGCCTTCCTTCCCAAGCCCCCATCCCAAAGGCCACTACTACCCTGCACAGCAAATGCAAAATACAGATTAACACGCCCAGGAAAAGAGGGTGGACACCTTGAACACAAAACAAGATCTTATTATGCACCAGCAACAAAAACTGCCCAACCAGTCACCTTGCATTCTGTAGTCAGTATAATAAACTCCGGCCCACGTCCCCCACCCCACCCCCAAACATGTCAGGAAGGGCTGCGGAAAAAAGATGTCCCTTTAATAAAACGTTATCAACATATATCGTACACAAACTACAATGTATCATAATTACTTTTTTTTTCCTCTCTTAATTCAGAACCAGACTACAAGGTAAGAAAAAACACAAACAGCTACAATGTTCCCAATAATCCGCACAAGGTCTTTTTTCAGGCAGATGGTATCTCACATAGTATGATATACATGGATCAGGGAGGGAGGGAGAACAGACAGCAGCTACAGGGGTGTGGGGAGGAGGGGCTGTAAATGTACAAAGAATTCAGGTGTCTTCAGGGCAAGACACAGAGGTTTCGATGGGAGCGGTGAGGTGAGGGAGGCCGTGAGTCACCCCTCCTGGGAGGGGACAGGCTCCACTGTCGCATTTGTCGGTTTTTGAAAATAAAAACAGGACCGAACCAGCACGTCTGTTTGATTGGTGTCCCCCGCCCCCCACAGCTATTCCGAAGTCTTTCCATCCAGTTCCAAGCGTATACAGAGCAATTCTGGTCAATTTCCCATCTTTGAAAAAGAAGCAAGAATCAAGAGAAAAAAACCCAAAAAACAAAAGAAAACCCAAACTCCAGCCCCACGGTGCCCACACACATGACGAGGACGATGCGAGCCAGGGCCACAGGACGAGCACGCAGGGGTCACAGTTGCCATGTCCCAGGTCATAGCCATCCTGTCGGGGGCGGCCTCCCCCACTGCGCTCCGCCCAGGCCACCGCCCAGCTGGCAGGATTCTCGCTGGGAAGACTGGGGTGGGGGCTGAGCACGGGCGGGGGAAGGTCCAGAAGAGAGAGAGGAGGAAGCGGTCCTGGGAACACAGTGCATGCCACCAGGTCACAGCGCGTCTCCGCCGTGGCGGAGTCCTGAAAGCGGTCGGGTGGTCGGGCCCCTTGGGCCACATAGTGGGGGGGGGACGGTTCTGGGGTCCCACGTGTGCAGCTGCCGGCACCACCTCGGCCAGGAGAAATCAAGCAAAACCAAAACAGGTTCCTGACCCTCCCTTGCCCATCCGCACGAACCAAAAACCCCAAGTGGAGAAAGGTGACTTTCTTTTCTCTTTCCAAAAAAGGCCTTTTGAAAGAAACCACCGATTGTAAACTGCCCAGTTTATTATTATTATCATTATTTTTAGATGGCTACAAAGACAGCGTGAGACCTCACACCTAGACTATAGCTTTCCTGGTGGAAGGGCTTGGGTACAGACAGACAGCAGGGCTTCGGTTTTTTTTTTTTTT